AAAAGTTAACTCAACTCAAACAACTTGATCTTAGTTCAAGTTCAATTCTTGGTTCACTTCCAACCTCATTAGGGAGTTTGAGTAATCTTGATTTTCTGTCTTTGTTTAACAATTCAATTACAGGAACTGTTCCTTTAGAACTTGGAAAGTTGAGTTCTTTAAGGGTTCTTAATCTTTCTTGGAATTCACTTACAGGTTCAATTCCAAGTTCTGTTTCAGATATTAAGAATCTGTCTGTTCTTGATTTGTCTTCAAATTTCTTGTCTGGACAAATCCCAGTTGAGTTTGGTTCATTTCTTGGACTTGAGTTACTTAATTTGTCAAATAACAGTTTAAGTTCTTATATTCCTTCTGAAATTTCAAATCTTTCTGCATTAGTAGAACTTGATCTTGGCTATAATTACTTGTCAGGGTCATTGCCTGAGGGTTTATTAAGAATGAGAAATTTGAGTAAATTGTTAGTTGGAAATAATGAGCTAGAGGGTGCATTGTCAAGTACTTTGTTTACTTCAAATGATTCTGTGTTGGAGTATATAAATCTTAGTTGGAATCGATTCGAAGGCAAAGTTCCTGATGTTTTGTGGTCATTGTCTGATCATTTAAGGGTTCTTGATATATCAGGGAACAATTTTACTGGTGTGGTTTCAAATAGTACCTATTTTAGTGTTACTGGTGCTTCATATAACCTTTCTAATAATCTTTTCTATGGAAATGTGACGTTTGATGTTCGGAGTTTTCAGTCGATTGATTTGTCTAAGAACTATTTTCAAGGACTAGCACCTGATAAATCTGGTGTTCGAGTTATGGATAATTGCTTTGCGGGGTTATTGAATCAGAGGAGTTTAGATGATTGTAGTAAGTTTTATGCTGATAGGGGTCTAGTTTTTGTTGATGGTGGAATCCAAACTCCGGTGCAAAGAGCCTCGAAGGGCGGGCATAAACGTTTGTTTATCATGGTTGGAGTTTTTGGTGGAGTTGGTGTTCTTATGCTTATGGCACTAGTCATTTTATTGTTTTGGAAGGTATGCTATAGAGGGAATTCAAACGAAAGAGTCATATCGAATGTTAGTCCTGTTGTGGAAGGAGGCAATAATCAGGCACCAGTAAAGTTCTCTCGTGATACATCTGGTTCAATTGAATCATTTACTTATGATCAGATACTAAAAGCCACAAGCAACTTCAATGAAACAGATCTTATCAAGAATGGTCATACTGGAGACATTTTCCGAGGAATATTAGAAGGCGGTGTCACCGTAGTTATCAAGAAAGTTAATGTACACCATATCGAAAAAGAAACATACAAGTTGGAGTTGGATTTGTTAAATTGGACAACACACCATAGGCTTGTCCCTTTTTTGGGACATTGCTTAGATCATGGGAATGAGAAGTTTTTGGTCTATAAATATATGCCAAATGGAGATTTGTTCAATTTGTTGGCCCGGGATACGGATTTAGAAGACGAAAATGGACAGTCTTTGGATTGGATAACAAGATTAAAAATTGCAACAGGAGCTGCAGAAGGCTTAGTTTATTTGCATCATGAGTGTAATCCTCCCCTTGTTCATAGGTATTTTTTTCTTCCACTTTGTTGCATTCTTGTTTGATAATGTTGTACACCAAGCTAATTATATTCTGCATTTTCTGGTTCTTGAAGAGATGTTCAAGCTAGCAGTATCCTTCTCGACGATAAATTTGAAGTAAGGCTGGGAAGTTTGAGCAACGTGTGTGCACAGGAAGGTGATAGCCAGAATTTGATCACAAAGTTTTTCCGCACGACAAAGTAAGTATTACTATGATCATAGTTTGATCCTAATACAAGATTTTTCAGAAATGTAATAGACATTTAGTTAGATTTATGTGTTTACATTTCTGTATATTGCTTTTCGTTCAATGTTCTAAGATATATTATGTTTCTTCTTGACAATAAACAGGAATCCTGAGGGAGAGCCTGCTGGTATGTACTATTCTTTTCGTAAAAGAACGTATAGTTGAATAGAGTTATTTATCTGAATTTCTCATATGCTGCCTTTATACATGGACAGGATCTTCATTTACAAGTTGCAGTACTTATGATGTATACTGTTTCGGGAAGGTCTTGCTCGAGCTTGTAACTGGTAAGGTTGGCGTAAGTCATTTAGATGATGCCTCAACCAAGGAGTGGTTGGACAAACTTCTTCCTTTCATCACTATACGCGAGAAAGAACTACTGTCCAAGATAGTCGATCCATCTCTAATTATAGATGATGACTTACTTGAAGAGATGTGGGCTGTAGCAATAGTAGCCAAAGCATGTCTTCATCCGAGGCCTTCTAGACGTCCTGAAATGAGACGCGTCCTGAAAGCTCTTGAGAACCCGTTCAAGGTTGTTAGGGAAGGAAGTTTCAACTCTATAAGGCTACGAAATACTTCATCGAGGCGATCATGGAGTGCTGCTTTTCTTGGTAGTTGGAATCATAGCTCACAGGATAGTGTTAATGCTAGTGGCCAAATAAGCAAAGAAGCTGGCATGAACCTGAAACAGTCAGGAAGAGTAGGATTATCTCATTCTATTAGCAGTGGGAACGAACATTCATCATCGTGTAAGAGATCATCGAGTGAGATTTTCCCCGAACCTCAGGACACACTAGATATAGAGAGACAAGACATGAGCTAGCCATCCAGCACGAATCTATGCCAAATGCATTTCTGCAGGCAGGGGTTTTGTAAGTATCAGGAGCTTTGATTTTTTATTAGATGAGCGGCAGTACTATGATCATTCTGAAGACATGGGGCCTACACGCTACACACATGTTATGCGGTTGGTAAACTCTTTCCTTCTGCAACAGCCGATCAAATCGGATCAGTATTTTTGAATATGTTGTGTTACATCATGTACATGTATTCTGTTTTCCTCTTTTCTTTTAGTGTGTCACAAATGCTCATGTGCTTTGTAAATTTTCAAAAAGTTTACTCTTGTTCCTGTGATGATAGAACAAGTATATAATTGTGTCAAGAGTGTACACTATCTAATCCAGATTCACATTTCCATGATCTCATATTTTGCAATTGCATGAAAAAGTATGATATAAATGAATAATAAAACCTGCACTTTCTTGAGCCGAGGGTCTATCGGGAACAACCTCTCTATTGTAGGTAGAAGTAAGGTCTGCGTACATCCGGTCATCTCCAGACCTCATTTGTGAGATTACATCAGGTATGTTGTTGTAATTGGATAAATAGGGCATCAAAACTGTTATAGTGTGTCAATCCCTTGGTGGCCTAAATAAGGACAAGTAACTCAATACATGTAGATGCACCTGAAAGTTACAATGAGCAAAAGTCATTTGGTTGTCCAATGGCGGAATTAGGATTTTCACCAAAGGAATTCAAAATATAAAGAAGTAGATACACGAGAAGCTAAGGGGATTCACATCTACTATACATATATAAAAATTATTTTTGACAGTATATATACAACGTCTAAATTATAGAATCAATATATTCTTATCAACACCTTCAAATGTGAAGCATCATTGATCAGATTCATCAAAAATTCAGGACAAGCAAATTAAAAGTCATATTTTCATTTATAAAGTGTCCATAGACCAACTTCTCGATTAATGAACCTACAAAATCCTTCGAACTGTATGTCTGTATTAGATTAAATCCAGATATTGCAGTTATTTTCTCATTTCCACTTCTGAATCTCAAACAATTCGATTAAGTAGGCATAATACATAAATATGTCATTTAACCTGGCTTCAACTAACATCTATGTCCTCCAACTTTGGACGCGCATAAGTAGGTACTTAAACTTGTATAAAATTGAACAAGTAGACACATGAATCCTTCATGACATAATGCACGTTGAATGACACGTAAAGATACAAAATTGCATAGAAGACCACATAGGACAAATGTGTTTCTTTGTTCAATTTCATATAAGTTTAAGTGTCTACTTGTGCACATCCAAAGTTGGAGAACATAGATGTCATTTGAGCTTCAAGTTAAAATGACATATTTATATATTATATCATTAAAGTAGTCTATTGAAGGGATTCTAAGACATGAGGGGATGTAGCTCAAATGGTAGAGCGCTCGCTTTGCATGCGAGAGGCACGGGGTTCGATCCCCCGCATCTCCATTTTTTTCCCATCTTTTTTATAGTAAAGAAGAAGTAAATTGGTGCACTAAGCTTCCGCTATATGCGGAATTTCAAAAAAGATTAGACTACATTAAATCTATATTGTTTGCAACTTTATTTTACATTTTTGTAAGAGACATTTCTATTGGTTGAATCTTTGATTTCTAATCACACGATAATAACTTAAATTGTTGCACCATGGCACTGGGTTGATAAGGATTAAAGAATATGTTTGGAGTGAAATGCATATTTATATCAAAATATCATTAATAATGTTAATTTATTAAAACACACTCCTAATAAAAAAAAATTGAAATTGTGTCAATTCAACATGATTAAGTAAAGTAAAATCGAGGATGTATAATCAAATTCTCAATTCATTTAATAAGCTTTGACTTAATCAAAGTCTTTTACTTCATTTTCCTCTTGATTTTTTTGCCTTTGAACAATTTGATTTAAACCTAACCATAAAATTTAATACTCCCTTTAGTTCATTTTTAGTACTTGTCCAGGTTTGATTTGACATATATTTTAAATAATAATTTTATGTTATCATTTTTTTTAATAATAATTAATAATAAATATCTCTTAATATTTTTAAATTAGATAAATATTCCTTCGTGCAATTTTTACTTGTCTATTTTAATCTATACACGCTCTTAAAAAGTAATACTAATTAATATAAAAAATTTATCATAATATCTAATTATCTATATTAATTGATGTTTTGTATTAAATTTTGAGAAATAAATAATCAGTGCTAAAATAAAAATATTTTTTTTCTTAAAAATAATAAAATATATTTTTGAAATAATAAGAAAGTAAATTTAATCTCAGTAAAAATGAATATCTATTTTTAACACGAGCAAAATCACCCTTTTTGGAAAAAGAAAGATAAAACTCCTCCTTCAACAGAAATCACAGCGATATAGCGAAGCATCAAAATGGATCTCTGAATCTGTAGCTGAGAAAGTCAGTGATCCTTCAATTACTCACAATCTGCCTTAGCTTCTCCATCTTCGTCTTGCTGCGAGGTGAGGTAACAAATTATACTTTGCAGCTCTTGATTTTGGTTCGATTTGATTTAGGTCTTTTTGTTCTGTGAAATTTAGGCATCAATGTTTCTTAGATTTGTGATTTTACTATGAAATTTGCTGTTTTAGGTTCTAATTTTGCTTCAATTTGGATTTTGGCTGATTTGTGGCTTCATCCTGCAATTAAACGAATCATATATTGGCCTAATGTGTACCCGGTGATGTTTTAGAGTAGAACTCAAAGCTCCTTCCTTTCCGAGAGGTTAGTTTGGTAGATCGTCTGGAAACACCTCTGTATTGTATCATCCCCCGGGTTTCATGAACTGTAGTTGTAGAGTATAAGAAAACCTGACTGATCATCCTGTGCACCTTCGTGAAAGATATGATTTTTATCCTGTGTTATGGAAACTATACAATTCCATAGCTCAAGAAGTTTGACTAATTGCTCCTCCGATCCAGAGTGGATTCTAGGAAGTTCTACTTCTACATGTGGTTTCCGGGAATACCAAACCTCAAAACCGTGGAGTGGCAATCAAGTGTTGTATGACATGATCCCACCATATTCATACACAGAATAACATTGAGGTCTACCATAGGCAATACAATTAAGTCATTCACGGTGTCTTTGATCTGTACTAAGACCTCAGAGTCTCATCCACAACGATACTCCTCCACTCGATTTGAGACAAAAAAAAGCTTGTCTAGGACTATAATACCTCTCCAAACAAGATGTTAAGTGTGGTGACATATAAGAATAGTTAGATCCAAGATCTATAAGTGCAAATGCCACATGAGAACAAATTGTAAAAATATCTATGACCACGTCATTCGATGCCTCAGCATCCACTCTGACCATAGCATAGAGATACAAGTTGGTCCCCATTACCCTGAAGAACATTACCACTAGCAACATGTGGAGCGACCTTAGCTGGTTGAGCTGTAATCTGAGTGTTACCAATATGCCTTGGACACAAACCTGTGTTGATATCCATTAAAGGCTGATGTGCAATACATATTTGGGTTTTTATATAGTCCAAATACTACAATCCAGTTGGCTCCTTGATGCATTCTGCTCTGAATTTCTTTTTCCAGCAACTATTGAATGCAAATCAGTCATACATGGGAAGTTTCTGAGAGGGCGTGGTCTGCATTCGTTTTATTAACATTACTAAAGTGCTTAGCCTTTGGGACACATTCAATATAGCTGTGCAAGGATTTTAGTTTAATAGCTGTGCAAAAAGAAATGTCATTCAAAACCTTTTTTTGTTTTGAATGACATTTCTTTTTGCAGGTAAGCAATTTAATGTAACCAGCTAATGCTATTAAATATATATATTTTTTAAATAGGTAACTTTGCTATTAACTAGAACTTTTGCACAACTATATTGAATGTGTCCTGAAGGCTAAGCATTTCAGTAATGTCAATCAAAAGTTTTGTGAACCATGCTTTCTTGGATACGAACCATGTCCAAATGATTTGAATTTCTAAAAAAGCAATAAACTAATGTAGAGTTGAAAGCATCAAGGAGCTCAGTAGATTGCCGATTTGGCTATATAAAAGCCCAAATATATACTGCACATCTGCCTTTTAATGGATATCAGCACAGGTTTGTGGCCTATTTCAAGCTTACTCTCACCCTCTCTGGTCTATTCCCATGAAATCAAGTGCCATGTTCCTCTCTCTCATTCATATTTTTTTTCTTGTTTCGTGAAATGAAAGACACAAACGCATGTCTTTCCAGTTATCAAAAGAGGATCAGTTTAGTTTGAATTTTGTGAGTTCAATTGGATTGGGATGGAATTTCGCTGTGAAAAGCATACTTCCCAAAATTTTGACAAATCTCAACTTGTATTTGGGGATTTCCGCAGGACCCTTTTCCTTTGTTAAGATTTCTGTTTTTATTCTCAGATCTCATGGATAATTTTTTCTTATCTAAAAAGAAAACTTTGAGTTCTTGGAAATACCTGCTTTACCCGAAAAACCAACAATTCATATTCGAGAGGTTTAGAATGGCAATCTGGAACTCTTGTAGCAATAACAACTACCATTACAAACCTGAAGGGTAACATGGACTTGTTAAGGTTGATTCAGTTGGGTTTCTTTACGTTTTTTCTCATTTCTCAGACGAGTTAGCTGTAGAAGACAGGTTGTTCACCTTATTTACTATAGGTCTGTTAGCATTTGCACTACTCCATTAGTTTAAGTATTTTAGTTTCAGCCCAGACCAAATGTGTTCACTTTGAACAAACATAAAGGCACATTTATGCTTAGTGTTATGTATCAAAAACCAAAATACACCTAACTCTTTCCTGAAGGGAGTCTGGGACTATTTTGAGTTTTTGCACTTGATATTTGTAATGCCTTCCTACTGGAGATAATTATCACTTTGGTCATGTATAGGAGTATTATTTTTCTTGGAATACATCCTTCTGATAATTTTCACGTTTTCTCGGAAAAGGCCTTCTTGCTAAATTGCCACTGTGTCTCTCTGTCATAATACACTTTAGGGAAAAGGCATTTTGAGATGTACTACTTTGCAATGTCAGGGTATAAGATATAGTTCTCGCTTCTCGGTCATCTTTCTCCTGATGCTTTTTATGTGTATTATATATGTTTTTAATTATCTGATGTGTCCAGTTAAATGTTCTACAGTTGGTGTTGAAGATGTCTTCAGCTCAAGATCCTTTTTATATTGTCAAGGAGGAAATTCAAGAATCTGTAAGTTCATCTACTTCTATCTAGTTATGTTATAATAATCTTGAAGTGAAGTAAATCTTAGTCGTCTAAGATTTGTTTTTTTTATTAGTGTGTTGTTCTTATTCTTGCATGGGAGATAGATTCATGAAGGGTTGATGGTGTTTCTTGTCATGTATCTATCTCCATCTCTCTCGACATTCTGGGGAGGGGGTGAGTAATGTGTTTATGAGATAAAGTAGAATTCTTCTAGACTAAGGTTTAAAAATCAAGTGCTCCAGTAACACCTAACAGGTAAGCAAGCTGGTTTTGTGATTTTCTGAGGCTATTGTCTATTATCATAGAAGAAATAAAAAAACAAGCGGAACAAACTAAGAAATTTCATCTCTTTTACTGTTAAGAAAAAATAAACTAAGACTTCCCTTGCTGGTAGAATCTGTTGGATCTCATCTGTGATCAAGTTTGTTGACTACTCAAACTAACTCTTAATATTCTTGCTTGGTTAGATTGACAAGCTCTTGTCCACGTTTCATCAATGGGAGCAAACTTCTGCCGGAAGTAGTGAGCAAGTACATCTTACCAAAGAACTTCTTGCTTCATCTGAGAGCATTGAGTGGCAGGTATGTGCGAACACGTAGCTCCTTGAAACTTGATTAATTGATACTTATCACTGTTTGGTCTGTAAAATTCTCATTTTATGTCTTCCTGATTGCCTGCACTGTACGTGAATGAATAACAACAATTTTGAATAGCCAGATACAATTGCATGTTTGATGTGTTGCACCTGTCTTAAGTTCAGTCTATGAATTTGTACTGTCCAATCTGTCGGCTTTAGTACTTAGGGAAAAATGTTCTTCTTTCAGTGAACAATAGAAACATACCCAGAGTTGTTCTTCTGTCAATGTGATTTGATATTGATCTACTGCAGCTATGACTTACTTCATATCCTTATATCAATGCTGAATTCCTGTTTTCTTGATGAGAAGGTGGATGAATTGGACAAAACAATTGATGTTGCAGCAAGAGATCCTTCTTGGTATGGTATTAATGATATTGAGCTTGATAAGAGAAGAAGATGGACCAGCAATGCCCGTGCTCAAGTATAACTGATTCTGTTGATGCCAAATATATATTCTTTTGTTCCTTGGTTCCTTAAAATAAAAAACGATTTCAAATTGCCTTTAACCAGGTGGGAAGCATGAAGAAAGCTGTAGTAGCTGGAAAACAGTCAAATGGGACAAGTACATCTAATCTGAGTGGGATGCGGCGAGAACTGTTGAGATTGCCAGATTCTGATCAGAAAGAGAGATCCAATGCATACAATGCCCGAGATAATGATGACTTCATATCATCAGAATCAGATAGACAATTACTTCTTATGAGGTAATATTCCCTCCATTTCTTTGCATCTATCCTTGTTTGTCATGTTTTTATTACCAATTGATTTTTGTTCCAATCTCACTGAAAATCTTGCACGCACCTATCCATTTATCTTTCTGAGACATCTTAATGTTTTCTCAATCTTTACTGTGGAATCCTAGCCTTTGATTTTATTTATGTGGGGATGATGATATGTATCATCAACCTCTCTAAGATCTTTATGTTGTCGTCATAACCATTCTGCCATGTCTTTTTAGCTTTCTGAGTTTGTCTACTCAACTTTATTTATCATGGAATAGTATGCTGTATTGACTACCCTTTAGTACCTGTTATTAAAGGTGTTAGCTGTATAATTTTGCCAGCACTTAAATTATGTTGAGAAGACTTCAATTAATCTAGAATTTAGAGGATGTAGCATAATCTTGAGTCTATTTGATATGGTACTATCACTATGGCATTTTTATAGGTTTTAAATTTAACTTTCAAAAAGCCTATTTTCTGGATCGTTCACTTCTAACCTAAGTTGCTCGGACACGGGTGTGGGTGAATGATACGGGTGCGGATCTAAAGGTCGGATCCTTCATGATCTAATTTTTAAGATTCGGGGATATGGATCCATGTATGGATACGGGTGCGGGGATTCGCCTAAAAATAATTAAAATATCTAAAAAATTGGAGTTACAAAACCTAAATTACGAGATATCATGTGGAGAACTTGAGGAGAATCTTCCAAAGGAAAAGGAGTGACATAGAAATTTCTATATTAAAGGTATTCCATTTCCTTCAATTTCACCTTAGCTTTTTTGTTGATTACAGAAATCATTAAAATTGTCCGGACTTTCCCCATCGATTTTGTCAAAGTACCCAAAATAGATTGACCAAATTGGACACGAATCCCACACCCACACCCATGTTGTGCCGACACGGGTGCGGCACCAAAAGTGAAGAGTCCGAGCAACATAGCTTCTAACAACAGATTGGATGCCCTATGCAGGCAACAGGATGAAGAACTAGACGAGCTTAGTGCCAGTGTAGTCAGAATTGGAGATGTTGGGCTCACCATACATGATGAACTTCTTGCACATGTGAGTGCTACCACCTGCTTAATCAGTTCCTTGAATTTCTCGTAACTCAACAAATTGCAGCTGCTTAAACTCCTCTGAAGCAAAATGTAGTTAAAATCAATATATGTTCCTTGCAGGAGAAGATCTTAAGTGAGTTGGACACGGAGATGGACAGTACATCCAATCGTCTGGATTTCGTTCAGGTAACTGAAAGTTTTTCTCTAGTTTTCAAATTTCTAAATCAGCCGCATCAACAATAACTTTTATTTATCGCTGTTATAGTATTCTTATCGCATAGAAACCACAATTTGTTGCAGAAAAAGATTGGCATGGTAATGAAGAAGGCGAGCGTCAAGGGACAGATGATGATGATTTGTTTTCTGATAGTTTTATTTATTGTTCTTTTCGTTCTGGTTTTCTTGACCTAGTTAGCATAATTTGTTTTCTTATAATTTTGTTCAATTCATTCTGGTTTTGTCTACCCAGTTTATTATGTACGTATTGTTATGGAAGAAACTGGCATGTATACAGCATACATAAATGAATTGGAAATCTTGGCATTGACACTACTACAAATGTTTTCTTTTTGGGTTGAGCATTTTTAAGTGTGTTACATTATAATGTATATTTTTTATTGGATTGTTTTTTTATACTAAAAATGGGATGAATAGAGTAAAATTTTAAAATTGGATTTTACTTTCAAACTCTAACATAATAATGTTAGAAGATGAAAGTCGTGAATACTGATGTGGATGTGTCGACATACTTAGAGGTGGATAAGATGACGGAAGTGAAACTAAGATAATTTAAGCACATTACTTAAACACTTTTTCTATCTCAAATTATTTATCCTAATTTTTAAAAATGGGTATATAAAATTATTTGTCATTTTAAATATCCCAGATAAAAGTAATTATTTGTTTTCATTTTATTTTTCATAGTAATTGTTATTGAAAAACTACAAAAAGCTCAAAAAGAGTAAAACACTGTTTGAATTAACTTATTTTAGAAGTTTTTTAAGTCAGAATAACACTTTTATAGAAAAACATTTAATTAATGATACACTTGATTAAGAAAATAGAATAGGATCATGTTTAACGTTGGATAGCATCCCTCCGTCCAACAATGTTTGTTCATTTTATGAAATTATTATAATTTCATATTTAGTTTTTAATTTACTCTTATCATTAATTATATTCGTTTCTCTATTACAATTTTCAATGTATTATATTTATTATTATTTAAAGGATAATATAGCTAAATTATGGAAAAATTACAAAAATTTCACCTTTTAGTTTACTTATTACCATTATCCCCTATAAGTTTTACAAATCTTCAAAATCCCTCATTTTCGCGCATCAGATTAGTGTATCTCGCGCATCAGATTAATGTATCAGCGCATCAGATCAGTGTATCTCGCGCATCAGATTAGTGTATCTCGCGCATCAGATTAGTTTATCCCGCGCATCAGACAAGTGTATCTCGCGCATCAAATTAGTGTATCATGTATAAAATGTACCTCGCGCATCAGATCAGTGTATCTCGCGCATCAGATTAGTGTATCTTGCGCATCATATTAGTGTATCATGTATAAAATGTACACCAGATTAGTGTATCATGTATAAAATGTACATCAGATTAGTGTATCATGTATAAAATGTACATCAGATTAGTGTATCATGTATAAAATGTACATCAGATTAGTGTATCATGTATAAAATGTACACCAGATTAGTATATCATGTATAAAATGTAATGTATCTTACTTAACGATTAATGTATCTCGCGCATCAGATTAATGTATCAGCGCTTATATTATTGTATCTCGCGCATCAGATTAATGTATCAGTGCTTATATTATTGTATCCGTTTTTTAAATTTTTAAGGGATTTCTATAATTATAAACTTATAAGGACAAATGATAATTTTACCTTAAAAGTATGTGATTTCTGTCATTTGCCCTTAAATTATCCTTTTACAAAGTCAATAATGAACCAATATCGTTAAATAAAAGGTGTAAATTGAAAACATCACTTTCATTAATTGAAATAAAAATTGAAGATACCACCGACCTCGTAAATCTCAAATTCATTCTTTTCTTGTAGATAAGGTTTACAATGTGATCACCCATCCTCATTGTTGGCCTCCATCACCATCAACATTTCTTTTCATGCACATAAATTTCTCACCCCCACTCCACACACAACACATGGGGTGGGCGCTATAGTAAAATTTATGAGTTCGATAAAATTTAATAATTTAGGTTTATAATTTAAATATATATATTTTAAAAAGTTTATTGAATATGTTAAAAAAATAATGAATTTGGAAGTCATCAATTTAGGAGGACTAGTATCACATGGACTGATTTTATATTTAAGATGTAAAGACAAAATAAGTCTATATACTCTATCTTTTTCAAAGTTCATTTTAATTAATAGAATTTTATTGAATATGTTATTATTATTATTGTTGAAGTAATAAATATGCATTTAGTTAAATGATTTGTCTTCCAAATTGACTACTTTTTTTATTTTTATCATTTAGATAAGTTGATTTTTCCTTATTAATCAAATTATGTCTAGTGATACATAAATTATTTACACAACTTAAATTAATGCCTCAACATAAAATTGTCTTAAGGGATAAAATTTAAAGATAGACACAAAATAGGAGCAAAAGTATAGATGACACATGAATATGACCTCTAATTTGACAAAAAAATATATTAAAAATATACTATTGAATATTTGAATGTGTAACAAAGTTTATAGTATAGTCCATCCTGAAATTAAACAATTGTTTGCTATATCTTGGACAATATGAACCTTAATATTGAATGGTTATGGATATTATCTTTTGACTATAAAAAGGACCCACAACAAGAAATTTATAATATTCAGCAAAAATAAATATTTCTAAATTACCTTATCCTTCCATACATAACAAAAATTTAATATGAACAGAAAACACAATAAAATGATGAAATAAAGAAGAATGAATAAGAGGGATCAAGGAAGGACGGACAAATTTGTTATTGTGTTTGGTTAACTATTTTATTGACTTATTAAAAAAAATTTAAAAAACTTTTAAATCTTATATCTTTATATTAAAGTATGTCGAATGTATTAAAATGTCAATTAATCTTATGGTCTGAAAAGTTAAAACTTATGACTAGAGATCTCGAGTTCAAGCCTTAGATATGAAAAAATCTTTGATAGAAAGTGCTTTCCTCTGAATGGAGATCTATGCGGCACAAATTTAAAATAGTCGGGTTCCCAATACAAATATCGAACATCAAATAAAAAATTGAACCAAAAAACTAAAAGAATAGAGGTATTTTTTTTTAATAAATTAAAAAATAAAATAGAACAAATAAATTAAAACAACAATTTTTTTTTTATAGAGCCACATAAACATTAGTATAGTAATATTGATAACATCTACATGGTGTTATTATATAAAAATAATGAGAGAGGAAAAAAATAGGGATAAGAGTCTGAAAATACTCTAACTTTGGTCGGATTTGCTGTTGCGATACTAAACTTTCATATGGACCTATTACCTCCCTAGACTATTTAATACCGTATTTTTACCTCCTAAACTATTTAATAGTGTATTTTTAAAGGTATATATGTGCCCACGTGGACACATTACTATTTATAATTTTGCATTATTTTTTATGTCCACGTGGGCAAATATATATGTTTAAAATACGGTATTAAATAGTCTAAGGAGGTAATAGGTTATCATGAAAGTTTAGTATCGCAACAGCAAATCCGATCAAAGTTGAAGTATTTTTCAGACCCTTATCCCAAAAAAAATACTAGTAGAGAATAGAGATTAGAGAGAAGGAAAAAACATATTTTGATTGTAAAGATTGAAGAAGATTCCAAAAAGAGTAGCATCACTCATCACTGTATATGATTTTTTAAGCCAACCAAAAAGTTTGGTGGAAGTTGATGAGAAAAAACACTTCTTTTTTGGGAACTTGAAAGTGATTTAAAAGATCTTTTGATGCTTGTATAAAAGTAGAAAAAATAGAGAGGATTTTCTTGGTAAGTATATCAAGTTGAGAAATTCTTAGGATTTTGTATGTAATTTTCTCTTTTCATTTCTTGGGGGGGTTAGTTTGGCTGCTTATGGGATGTGTGTAAATTGTAGATTGCTAGCAATTTGTTGGTATCTTTCTGGTTTTGGTGTATTTGCTTTGATTTTTGAGCCAGTTCAGTTCTTGATTTTGAGATGAAATATAGAAAAGATTGCAACTTTGGATTGGATTTTTGATTTGTCATCTGAAATTACTGGTGGGGTTGTGTTTATTTTCAAGAATCATTGATTTTGAGATGAAATGTAGAAAAGATTGCAACTTTGGATTAGTTTTTTGATTTGTCATCTGAAATTACTGGTGGGGTTGTGTTTATTTTCAAGAATCATTGATTTCTGCTGCTAATTTTGCAAGATTTTCTTTTTATTCAATTTTGATGTCAGTTCTTAGTTTAGCTAATTTTGATGAAATGTAGAAAAGGTTTGAACTTTGGATTGTTTTTTTTTAATTTTGTCATCTGAAATAACTGGTGGGGTTGTGTTTAATTTCAAGAATCTTTGATTTTCTGCTGCTAATTCATAGCCTTGTTTGCAAGATTCTATTTTTATTCAATTTTGATGCCATTTTTTAGTTTAGCTAACTTGTATGACTAAGTCTCATATGAAGTGTTTTTTCAATGACCTCTTCTATTTTTTTTGGTCTTTCTAGCCTTTTAGGCATAATTATCTCAACTAAGTTTGGTTTTTTTTAGCAGCCTTGTCATAATTTTGCTTGGTTAAAAATATATTTGATCCTATCAGAAAGTATGTAACTAAATTTGGATCCCTTATTTTAGATAATTTAATTTAATTGTATGCCCAAAATTCTGTTCCTAAAATCTTGGTCTGTTTGTTTTCTGGAACCTTTATATTGTGTGTGTTTTTGTGGAATAAAATCTCCCTTTTTGCATTTCCATTGTTGTTCTCTCCATGTTTTGCCTGTATGATTCTCTGATCAGAGATGTCTGATAATGAAACATGGTTCTTTGGCCTACGTAGGTCCCGATTCATGGTTCGATTATGTCCTTATATCGGTGTCTGGTGAAGGATTCTGTTGAGGATTAAACATGGAGAATGGTCATGAATCACTCAGCAATGGAAAACCAGCTGATCCTGGTCTCCAAATTATTAGGCACCCCTCTTACCAATCATCTTGTGGTAAATTATCGTTATCTTGGTTAGATATAAGAGTTTTCTATATTAGAGTCAGCAATTTTATGGTAGATGATTCCACCCCGGAATATCTTACTCTCAACCACATTCCTCTAAGTCCCGATACATTGCTTGAAGTTAATGGAACAAGATGTTCCATGTATTCAGAAGGAGCATCTTGTCTCCTTCGAAGGGATCGGGTTGATAAGAAATCTGAAGAAGCTACATTTGTGAGCACGGATAGTATAAGGTTGACAGGAAGTGTGAAATTTGAGGTTTTCAATAAAGATGATCTTGTGCTCTCGGGGTTTTTAGAGATGTCGAATAGTAATGGTTTTGTTGGGGAGTCTAAAAGCAGTAGCAGGAGATGGAACATGGATTGTGAATCGGTGATGAATGCTGGCACTGGTTTCCTGAAGGGTAAACAAATTATGGATTCTGAATCATTATCACCAACAATTGAAGTCTTTATTACTGGTTGCTTCTCCGGGACGCCTATCATCTTGACCAAGAGTTTGCAGCTCAATCATCGGAAGAAGCACAACAGGAAGGGTATGTTACACTCAATCCCGGAGCATGAAACAGATGAACAGCAGAAAGATGTCTCATCTGAACTTGATCTGCAGGTATAATTGGTAGTTCAGCACCTTTTTTTTGAGGTCCATTTGGTATAATGATCTAGCATTTTTGAATTCTATAATGCACATCAAAATGCAAAAAACAGCTGATAGGGCACATCCGAACAGTAAACGTAATTGAATAACCACTTGTACCTTTAAATGTACAAACTGAATCAACTAACAAACCTAAAAATGCTTGCATATATACTTCTTGCATACATTAAGGACCATTAATTTTAATAGATATTATGAAAATAACCGTTAGTTTTAGGGTTTAGGACAAAAATGATCACTTTTTGCATACATTAACGATTATCAAGGGTAGTGCACATATCAAGAACCAAAGTAGTCCACCCTATACCTTAAGGACCAACAACAACAACTAGTGTAGTCCCACAAAGTGGGGTCTAGGGAGGGTAGAGTGTACGCAGACCTTATCCCTACCTCAAAGGTAGAGGGGTTGTTTCCGATAGACCCTCGGTTCAAGAAGAAAAACAGTTCAAAGCAGTCTAAGAAATGAAGTAATGCAAGAAACAACAGATAGTAACAATCGCATCTGGCTTTATTCATGCTTCATATCTTTCTTTTTCTTTTTTTTGGATAAAGTTGTTCATGCTTCGTATGATGAAACATGTTTCTGTGTTACATCATACCTAAAGGCCTGTATCTTTTAGAATCTTATCCTAATCAGTGTCATTGGTATGGGCTGAGACATACCTTCAGATGATTCTTTAATATTAAATTTATGTGTCTCCCATGTTACATTGTTCCTAAGTCTACAAGATCTTGATGTGTGGGGTCATTATCCTTTTTCTTTATTTGAAGGAATTGGAAATTGTTTTTAACAAAAAGTAGCACAAAGGAGGTGCTACTATTCAGATTTTTTTTAAAATAATCCGTAATTTGAATTGTAGGGAACTAGTAAAGTTTATTAGAATGTCTAAAGTGTTCGCATTTTTAAGATCATACCAAGATGCAATAGAATACAGATTTTTCAGTTTAGCGGTAAGGATAAGACACCGTCTCCAGTTCCACAACACATGTGATGGAATAGTACTCCAGATCTTCTGATTCGTTTGCTTCTGTTTCATTCGTAGCCGGTCTAACTTGTGTGAATGACCACCTGAAACAAAATTTCAAAGAAAGTGAAGAAAAAAAATCCATGTTAGTAGTACAATATTGAAGTGTCAAGCTGCAAAAGTCCAAGTCCTTAGATATGTTTTTTTAATTATCCCACGTCTATCTGTTCCTAATAATGTTGTCTGTGCCATGCATAATATCTTGGACATCAATTATCCTATGTGATAAGATTGGAAAAGGAAACAGAAGCCCTCCCCCAATCCTTTAGGATCCTCCTTTTTACGGATCCGAAAGAAGTGGTGGTGGTTTGCATTAAATAGAAATATTATCATTTGCTACCTATGAATGCTAGAAAACTTTTTAAAATGCTATAATAGATGAGTACTCTACTTCTTCCATGAATACTGGCGAAAATTCTAAAATGCTAGAACGGACGACTATTGCTTCCTGAATTTTTTTATGGCATTTGCCATGAATTTTTTCAAAAGAAATTAAGAAATCCTTAGCTTTCCACTTGCTATAACAACCTTGTACAGATTTGTTCTTTTCTTTTGTAATGTCTTACGCGTGATAGAGGACTAGTATAATGTTTCTGTTGACTGTATTGTAGGCCTATTATGCTGCTTTAGTTTTGAAGTTGAAAAAGGAAAGGATATTTATGTTTGCCTCACTTTCAGATTTTTAAGTTCCCTTTGTCAATTCTTCATTCGATTTTCACAGACGGTTGCCGGCTTTTAGCATTTCTTAATTTCTATATTTGGAAAAGTGGATCTTTCAATCATAACTAGTCCAAGAATTTTCACAGCTTCTGAACTTCATTGTGTGTTTACAGGTTACAGAGTATAGAAAGTATGAACCAGAAAGCGAAGAAGACTACAACATGTATTGGAGACAAACGGAATATATGGATGGTGAAGATGGGGAACTATCCTGGTTCAATGCTGGGGTCCGTGTTGGTGTAGGGATCGGCCTTGGCATTTGCGTAGGAGTTGGAATAGGAGTTGGCCTGTTAGTCCGCACCTACCAGACTACTACGCGGAACTTCAGAAGGCTTGTGTGATTATGTAGCGGTAGCTGCATTTGTTTTTGCATAGACCAAACTGCTAACAACAGATATATGCTTGTCTTGAGAGTGTGAATTCTGCTCATTAGACAGTTTCACTGTAGCTAACCATCATACATTTTCGTGTTAACTTACTTCCTGCTACCTTTTCGTCTTCCCTTGCCCCATCCCCGTCCCCGTGTTAAGTCTCTTTGTACCCCCTTCTTGTGTTGGATTTAGGTGTGCAACTTCTTACTGTTGTAGATGTTCCATTCTGTTGCTGAGATGTGTCCCAAGGCTACAAAAGTTATATAATCATTTGGTATAATTTTTGTGTTAAAACTTTTTGGACTAGTAGTTCAATGTAATTTTGTTCTTTTTGTTAACTCTTCCATCTGATAAATTGATGGTTTGGTGCAAGTGCTTAGGAAGCAGTAATTATATATTGTTTGATGTTTTACATTTGACAACCAGTGTTATCAAACGCGATCCAAAAAAACTCTAAGGTCCGTTGAGGTTTAAACTGCAAAGCATAGGCTTTTTAATAAGAAAGGCGCAAACTGAGAAAAAAAATCAAGTAAAATATCAATTGTTTAGTATTAACTTTTCAGGATTATGTGAATTGGCAAGGAGTGTTGATGCACGTAAAGATAGGTGAAGCGTTCAACATGTTTAGTAATTCAATGGATGAATACTTATTGGCTTCTCAAATTACATTATAAAAACTTTACTGCTGCTCCAAGGCTCCCCTTCTAATATATAGCATGTCACTTTATTATTTAAGTGTATTGATTATCAAACATCCTACTTCTACATTCCTTAAATTATTCGATCATGCAATACTTATTTAATACAAAAAAAAACACTCAATCTTGTCGTAGTTCTCAATTATTTCATGGCATCGCGCTATGATGGAGGAGATAATAAGAAGTAAGTTTTGAAGTAGACATTCTTTTCCTTCTTTTATCAAGGATGTGTCCAAATTGTGCACACCTCGACTATTTCATCCAAAACGGTTACTTTCTATCTTCTACCACCATAAGGTATCAGATAACCCTGTCAAACAAAGGACTTAAATAGATAAAAAGTAATCACATAGTGTTTATTGCCTAATATTTAAAATACAAATTCTTAACATCTTACATTTGTTATATCAAAGCAAAGCATATAACAAAGTTTAAGTAACTCTAGCAAAAGCATCTAAACTTTGACTGGTGGAGCAAGACACTCAGTCTTTGGAGCAACCTCAGGTGCAGAGTAGCCATTAGTTTCAGTGTGGTGTTTGTCAAAACTCCAAAACTTTGCAGCTTTTACATCATCTTGAGCCATTTGCCTTGAGAACTCTTCATGATCATACTTCAAATTTGCTTTTCCTCCTAATTCAGTTGGTAAATTATCCATGTCAAAATATGACTTCATCAATTCTACACTGTCCTTGTTCTTTGGATAAACAAATTTGACCTTCTGCATTGTTTTGGGATCCAGAAAATACTTGACTATCTGGAACAAGAAGAGAAAAAAATCAGCATCAATAAAAGGTGTAAGACGAAGGGAGAGCCTCGGAGCAATGGTAAAGTTGTCACAGTGTGACCTTAGGTCACAGATTCGAGCTGTGGAATCAGTTGCAACCGATGCACGCACCAGCATAGGTTGCCTACATGATGTATCACACACTTTGGAGTGCAGCGTGAACGCAGGATGCTTTGTGCACCAGGCTGCCTTCCCTGAAGTAACTATGGTTGGTTGATGGTTGAATAAAATACATAGTAGAACCATATAATAGCACATGGTTCGATATGAACGTGTAAACCAACAAGTCAGTGACTGAAAAAAGAGATTAAGTGTGATTGGTATGGAAGAACACATTTTTGAAAAAATATATAAGAAAACAAGTTCCTTAAAAACGAGAAAAATGACTTCTTTGGTGTAAATAGAGAAAACAAGTTTCATAAGTGGCGTTCCATATTGATTGTTTCCTCCCCAACCCCTAACACACTCCACCCATTCATAAGCTTTGGCCTTTCAAATAGTTAACACAATGCAATAAACAAGGGTGAGAACACTTAGATAAATGATCACAAGTTTTGCTTGGTTTTTGTTAGATCAAGTAACAGGTAAGAGGTGAAAGAAAAAGATAAGATTCAGATCAAACCTTCCAAAATGCTTCAAAAATCCGCGGAGGGTTGTACAGAAATGCTACAGCAAGTCTTTCAGGGTAGTGATTCTGCAAAATATTGACAGTCTCGCGAGCAGATTTGATAGGAACATTGTTGGTTAAAGACCATCCTGTGAAGTCTATCAACCATGACATTTGCTCTTGGTCTTGTGGAAGATTAAGAATTGCATTCTCTATCAGATACACTAAATGCCTCATCTGGTTGTCTAGTGCTGTCGTGTTCTGCAGAATGTAAGCGAAAACTATGAAACTACTTCAAGAATTTTTCAGCAGTTATCGTAACACAGACTTTGAAGACTTTATAGTAGGTATCTTATGTTACCTGCATTCCTGGTCTCAAGATAAGAACAGTCCTCCCATGACGGTCATGAAAATTTGCTCTATAAGCCTTCCCGGTCTCACCTTCAATTGCAACTTCATGCTGTCAAAGTGCAAATTATATGTTCAGCAGATGCAAAAGTACTTTTTAGGGACACAAAAATCTACAGAGGTCCTGTATATGAGAAGGCAGAACACTCAAAGATATACATATTCAGAAAACTGTCTAGTACCAACAAGATGAAACATGACAAAACGAATCGTTGGTAAATAGAAAAAAAGGTGACAATCACAAATATGTTATCTCTTTCATGTCTGCAGAATATCTACAAACGATTTGTCATGCAGTACTTCTTTTTTCCAATTCATAATTGTATGAATCCTCACTGTCCATGTCGCTCTATGTAAGCCCGTGTTATTCTAATTGTATACAAAAAATAGTTTCTCTATCAACTTTCTTTTAGCTACCCGCCCAAAATTCCTATTGTGCACTTATATACAAATCTATAGGTAGTTCATCTCTTGAGGTACTAACTAACAGCTGAGTCCTCTCCGAACAACAGGAGATAGTTGCCCATCATACCGCTCACCAACTTCACTTGCCTCTATGGGAAGCTCACTCCGGGCAGGTTGGGATCACTTACAATACACGGACACTACGAAGGGAAGGAGTGGATTAGGAGCATTTTCAATATGATTCTTTTCCTCTATTTTTTTCGATGAAAAATACGAGTCTGTTAGCATATAAATTTGTGAAAGCATAAACACTCCTAGCAAATATCGGACCTAAAGTAAACATACTGATGATTTAGCAACATGTTACATGTCAACAAGAAGATAACCACACCATACAAAATTGTCTCTTTTCTTACCCAGCGGATCTCTTCAGGCTTAAAAGTTGACCTCCATTTTAAGGTCTCTTCCAACATCTTCTTTGATTTCTCAACATTCCAATTCCGCGCTTCCAAATATCTCCTTAAACATGCATCATTGCAGTACTGTAAATCGCGTCCTGATAGTGGCGCGCCCAAGGAAGTCCTAAGCTCCTTAACCTGGAATAAAAGTAACAGCCTCTCACTTCATAGATATGATCTGATTAGAACAAGTTCAAAACACACGATTTGATCGTGAATACATCCACAGTCCCTCAGAAGTATCAAGAGTTGTGCATCTTTATAATGTCAACGATTATATTCAAGTTTTTATAAACTCAGAGAACCTAATATGATCTATTTGAACTCTGAAATAGCGAATTTACTGAAGGTACTGTTCACGTGTATGACCATCTCATCTAAAAGCTTAAGTTGTATACTTGTATATATCTTCAAACACACACACTCACAAACAGAAAACTCAACATAAAAATATAAACTTTTCAACGATTGATTACCTTATGTGGTTGATCCTCACCCTCCTGTTCACTGTGGGGATGGCTCTTGCGACGAAACATGATAAATGTTACTGCAATGAAGCAAAACCAATATAAACAAAGTGAGGCCTTTCAACAATCGACTAATATAAGATCGAAATTCTCATGTATCAACAAATACATTTTCATATCTAAAACTCCTTACAAATGTTCAAAAGGAACAGATTTTACTTGGAAGTATATACAGAAACACAGAGCAATTAGAACTTACTTCTATTTGACAGTCACAAGATTTCCTATCGATCTCCAAATACATTTTGTAAACAAAATTCCATACAAATGATGATTTCAATTACCATGACATAAGTAGGGTCAAAAGAATTGCATTTCATATTTTAAGCATATTCTACTATGGACTCACACTTAAAAGAAAAACGAATCACACTACTATATGATTGGAACCTATGATATCGACTTTTGAGACTTCTCTCCTGTCTTAGCAGTCTCAAATAAGGCGTGCACGCTTGTATCTTTAGTAGATGATTGTTTCACTACCTAAGCGAAGAAAAGGCTAGATTAATCAAAGAGAGTACTACAGGTCCGCGTTTTTCTAGACAGAAAATCGCAGGAATCTGAAACTACTTTCGATTACAAAATTGTTGCAACATAAATGCCTAGCTTTCCTCTTTACAAACACAATTAAATGGTACACAAACACAAGAGGATTCAGGATTTAAAATCTATTGATTCAATCTTTAACATTCTTATCCCTAAACCCCTAATTTTCAAAACTATGAATTCAGATTTACTATTTGTTGCAATTTTAGTCAATTTTTTCACATAAATTTAAACAATTCATAGAAAGTACTGTACTCAGATGAACCCGATGCTACAACAAAGGTTTTTTTGTGTGTTTCACACCATGATCCACCTACAACAGAGTGGTAAATTTGTGAAAGAGACTACCTTTTTGGCTGATCAAAAAGATCCAAACTTTGTCACAACAAAACTAACAGGCTCCAGATTACAACAACAACAACATACCTAGGGTAATCCCGGGGTTTACGGAGGGTAGGATGCGTCAGAATTTATCCCTATCTTTTTAGGGTAAAAAAGGTTATTTCTGATATACCCTCGGTTCAAAAGGAAAGTTAGTGAAACAGGAAAAAAAAGGCAACAAAATAAACAAGATACAAAGCAAATGCACCAACAGAGAGTAATCCGTCCAGATTATCATAGTTATTAGATATCCAAATCAAGATCACTAACGTGTAATATACATAAATTACAAAAATCAAATACGAATTCAAGATTTTAAGTCAGTAAATACAAAACCAACTACAACAATCACAATATATATATATATAAAAAAAATGTTCGAATCGAAGATAATGAGTATTAATTAATTCATGATCATACCTTAGGTTAGAAATTTGAGATGCCCTAATCAAGAATATGACATACAATATATTAGTGTATATACATATAAAATATGATATGATCAGTGTGTGTTTGTGTGTGAAAAAGGACAATCAGATGTTACA